TGCTTTTTAACATCCACATAAGTGATATGTCCTACTCAAATTACTGTGGAAATTTATCATTGGCGTAGATATCACTTTGCCCACACAGGCAAAACCTTTTCAAGATATTGAAGCCACACTGAACTCTGATTTATCAATAATGGCTGAATACTTCCATATCGTCTGAGCCTCTGCCCAACGAACCCGGGGACTTCGATTTTTCCCCAACAACTGGAGACCATGATCAAATGCAACCAAGTCCATCATCTCCACATTCCATCTCAACAAATCCCAAGGCACATAACACCCTCAATGACACCTTTGGCGTAGAGTAAGTGTTTCACGACCTGACTCTTACCTTGTGGAGACCCTTGACCACTCCCCTAACTTGTCATCATCACTTCTGAAAGACTGCCATAAAAACAAAGGCACAAGTGAACATCATCCAAAAGCTCACCAGCACAAGCTGGAGTGCAAAAGCCACCATCCTCCTCACGTCTGCTGTAGCCCTGGTTCTCTCAACAGCCGAGTACTGTGCACCCGTCTGGGTCTCAAGTTAATAATCGAAACTCATTGACACAACTCTACTCAGTAATGAGGACTATTGCTGGAACTCTGATATCAACTAGTGTACTGTAGTGGCTACTAGTAGTTTCAAACATTACTCCTCCCTCGATTCGACGGGATGTAGCAACATACAGAGAAATAATGCGTATCACTTGTAACCTGGACCTTCCCATGCACCAAGACCTTCAAGATCTCCTAACTCACCATATAATTTCATAAAGAATTTTGGACATGAACCAAGCACCTCCTATACCACAATACTGAAGAATCTTGGGAGGAAAGCTGGGGCAGAAAACACTTTCCCAAACAAATACCTAGTCTCTTACCCAACAATGTAACAACTGGACTTCAACCGTCCATGGAGCATGTGGACAATCCTTAACAGGATACGCACCGGACATGGTCGGTGTGGCCACCTGATATACAAGTGGCACCTAAAAACTCTGCCTGGCCGGAACTGTGGAAACCCTGACCAAACCATGGAGCACATAACATCCTGCCCCAGATACAAGTTTGTGGGTGATATCCTGGAGTTACACTCACTTTTCAGCAGGGCATTGGTCTGTTTGGAAAATTTGGAATTAAAGGCTTGACAACAGCTCTTGCTCCTAAAGCCATACAATGACAAAAGACTGAGGTCAAGCATTCCTTAAGGACCAAAATGTGTAAGCTAGTAGCTTGCTCTCTAAAGAGCAAAGATTAAAAGGGAAAATGTCGTTTCTCAAAAACAGCAATACAAACTTCATGGTCTGGTCTGTCTCAAAATCAAGCGCACACAGACCTTCCCCCCCTTCAAAACCACCTCTGGCATGTGGTCTCAACTACCAAAAATAAATTAAGGCGCTATACAGTTCTGTATGTGTGTACACACATGCACACAGAGTAAGCTCCTGTTATTTACAAAAGCTTATCTCTGAATTGATCAGGTCTCCAAAGTACCATTCAGCCTTACCTTCTGCCTGACTTTACACTACCATGGCTAACTCTTTACTTTGACAGAGAGAAAAGGAGCCTACTTGCTCACCACACTTTTCTCTTCCTATCAGGTAAAGCAGCTTTATAGAAAGAGCTACAGAATAACTGTCTTTGCATACAACAGTCTGAACCTATTCCCTTACTTGACCTACTCCTATTTATCAGTTTATCAGAGAAATTAAACGAAGGTGTTAATATGGGCTTTTACAAGAGCATCTATAACAAAATGGAAAAAGTTTTTGGAAGTGCCAAAATAAGCAGGTGGTGCTGGCACAGGATGCATCCAATCGGAAATAATGTATGGCAAATACAGGAAGAACTAATCAGCAAGAGTTATTTGGATATATACATTCTAACGTATGGGTTAACTACAGCAATTCAACAATCTCTTCTATTTTCTAAATACAGGATATACAGCTATAATAAATATAAAGTTCTTCTGATACCATAATGATTAATGTCAGTATAAGAACCAAGACAGATTCGTTGATATTTTATGTTGGATTGTTCTAATTTGGGCTGGACCAACCATGCATGCAGTACAAAGGGCCAATATTGGGGGGGGGGAGTGCATGCGCTACATGCAGCATCCCACCAGCCCAGCCCTGTGTATGTTGAATCTGGCATGGGCCAATTCAGACCAGTCCTGGAGCCAGTACACAGAGCTGGTTCAGTGCAGGTGCTGCATGCACTGCGCACCCCAGACTGACCTTGTGCTGTGTGTGGCACCAGGTCCAGCCTGCGCACTCCATACAACACATGCAACCTACACAGTACATGGGGTCAGGTCCAGGGACCCATGAGATAGATCATGCAACTCCACGGGCCTTTTGACACCCCTGTTAACCCATCCTCTTTATCCATATAAAATGTTGTTTTCAAGATCCTCTTCTGTTCCCATCATTCCAACTGTCTTCCATCTACTTCTAAGGGTTCCTGGAATGTATGGCATACAAGCATCTCTTCAGATTCGAGACAGATGCAACGCTGCATCTGTCTAATTCCGTTATCTTGATCACTTCCTTTATTTCGAGGCACCTTTTGTGGCCCACCAAAACCTACTGCTCAGTTGTTCCCTTTCTTTCTCATTTGCTCACCCACATTAATGCTGCCCCAAACTCCTAGAAGACTTATAAAAACTAAAACCCAAAACGGAGTTGGGAAAAAAAAAAAAGTGCATTTCAATATACACGGTCTCAAAACATCAGAATCTTCTAGCTTCCAAGTCCAAGTAACTGTCATTTTATTCAGAATATCCCTCACAAAGTGACTACAATTAATGTTGTGATCAAAAGGAGTCTGTAATCACCAATGTCTCCAGAGGTATCAACGCAAATTCTGCAAAGAGCCTACTGAAGAAAGGTGCCACGGGACAGGGGACTAAGTCTTAATACAAAGTGCATTAGAACTCAAGCTTATGACGAACGTAAAAATTTAAAATATCCCATTCAGGATTATGTCAGGGGTCTTGACAATAGGGACTTGGGAGAACAGCTGGTTCTTTCCCAGCAATGTTAGCCATCTAATGGAGAAAGAGCATCTCATCTAAGGTTCTGGCAGTCACTATCATTGATTAAGTACAGAAAGAGAGCCCCATGGATTGGGTTCAAGATAGAGCTCGCAGCTTCAAAGAGGACACAGGATTCTTCAATGTAAAACCTGCATATGCAGCAACCCAGTCATGCACTCTCGGCTGAAGCAAACACGAACTTAAGTTTAAAATAAATAAAATAAATACATTTTCCAAACCCACTGCACCAATCTTGCATTACTCTGTCAGTCTCCTGAGGCAAGTAATGAGGTACTATCCATGATGCACAAGTGCTTTGCACAACACCAGCAGATAGCTGACACCAACACAATAAACCCAAGAGCCAGACAGAAGATTTACCAAGCATTCAGCAAAACTGTTATTTTCCTATAGACATAAGATCTTTGGATAATGTCCATCTAAAGTGATCTTTCTTCTTTGCAGTGAGTCTTGGCTGAGCATGACAAACTAAAAATTACAGGAGCAGACCAAACACGTTCCTATTTGCAAGAACATGTACATGTGAACAAGTGAACTTCTGAGTTAGTAAGATGAAAGTATACAGACTGATATCAGTGCTGATATTCTGTACACAACAGAAAGCCTGGACCATGGAACAGACATTCCCTTGCAATGACTACCAGTGTTCCTGGCCCAACTGTAAGCAAGTTAAGCTGCTACAGGCTAAAAGGTGGGGGAACCTGGGGGCAGTGGGTCAGGAGTGAGGGTCACTGGGTTGGGACAGGCCATTGATGTTTACAAATGGATCCTGGTACAAAAAAGTTTGAGAACCACTGCTATAGAGAGAATGGGTGCGCTGGAGTCACTACCTGAACTTACTTAAAAAACTTACCAGCCCACGTACTAGCAGCTGAGCTGTGACAGAGCTCACGCCTGGACTGTAACTCAGACAAATCGGACCATACACTTGGGCAACCTGTACACATTGAACGCTGGCCTGCTACTCGTATCCGAGCTAGTTAGTTCAAGACTACCTCAAGGTGTTTCCAACATTAAACTGAAGTCAGAGCAGCAATCAATGTAGAAGACATACCTTAAGCAAGCTGAATAGCCAAGAGCGATTTAAAAGATGCTGCTCCTCCACTGAGGAGCAGTCCTGAAGGCATTAGGGCGGGCAATTATTTTGGGCAGAGGGCTGCTACTGAGTTTTGGCAAGTCATTGAGGGCCACATGACAGGCAGCCAGGGGCAGATAAATATTAATTTTCTAAATTTTTTAGGGGCCCTGTGGGCCAGATAGAACAGCCTGGCCACATTTTGCCCATCCGTGCATTAAACTAGAAGGCTCTAAATGTAGCAGGTGGGGGTCCTAGCTTGTGAGCATATCAGTAAGAAATCAGCTCTTTGTGCTAAACTCTTCCAAGAAATCTTGGAAGTTCGTTCATCAGGGAGGTACAATACCCGAAGTGCTGAATTCTACAAAAATTATATTCTTAGAAGAAAAAAATGTACATCTTTCAAAGCAACTGAGATGATACACCTAGGAACTGACTTTAAAGCACTTTTCCTAGTTAATGTCTTATGACAGGTGAGAGATTTAAAATTACACGAATGCATTTTAATTAAAGAAATAACCTCTAGAAATTAGAAAGAAAGTGATATCTACCTCAACATAAGCACATCTTGTTATATTGTTTTAAATGAGTTTAATGTTGGAATTTTGTTTGATAATGGTAAAAACTGAAGCACAGGATAGATGCATTTAAATAGTGGAACAGTAACATCTCCCCTCCCCCCCCACAATCATCTAGCAGCAGCACTACTAAAAGTGTACTTCCCTCCACCCTGCAGGAAAAAAAACATCTGCAGAAAAACACTATAAAAATCTTCTAGTCCCAGTACTGAATTTATGCATGTTAATAAAGTCAGAAGTGCATTCTAGATACAAATATCAAATAGTTAATGGCAAAATAACAGTTATTAATTACCTTTGGTTTTTTGTTCAGCAGCCTGAAAAAGAAAAACAAAAGAAATCAATCAATCAGAGATATTGGTTAGCATCAGCTTTTACTCAAGTTATATCCAGGAAATGAAACCACAGTCCTGCCCCTTAAAATCTACCGTCTGACAAAGAAAACCCCTGAATACCAAGATCCTGCTAAAGTTGAAACCTGATGATACCTTATTAGAACCACAGTTCATAGTTGTCAAATGTGATTCTTGCTTACTTTAAAACGAACCCTATTCAGTAGGGCTGTGCGAAGCTTTGGGTGGTGATTCGATTTGGTCCAACTCAGTGGCCGAATCCGAATTGAATCAGGGGACCAAGTAAAAGGTCCGAATCAATTCAAAGCTCTCCGAATCTTCAGAAAAAGTTTCGAAGAGCTTTGATGATTCAGACAGGCCCCCCGGGGCCTGACCCCGACCTGCTCCCCCTGTGCCCCCCCCATGGATGCCCTGCCCACCCCAGCTTCCAGTGCTTTAAAAAAATAGCCTCTACTCACTGAGTGCTGCCAGGCAGGGGGGCAATGCCCGCTACCCCCCACTACATGGGAGGCTGTCATGAGCCCCCCCAGCCCCACCCAAAGCCAACTCTGGCCCTTTAAGGAAAAAAAAAAAAAGTAAACCCCTGGGACTCTACTCCTGCAGCGGCCTCAGGGCTTCAGGGGGCTTGTGCAGAGCCCAGCATGGACTGCCCCCCCGCCGGCAGACCCAGCGAGTCCAGGCTTTTTCCTCGGCTTCCCCCCCAAAGCGCTGGAACCACAGCAGGCGGGGCAAGTCAGGGAGATTGTGTAGAGCCCCCCCCATGCAGTGTGGGACAATGGGGACTGCCCCCCTGCCCAGCAGCACCCAGTGAGTGGGGGGGAGGTTTCTCTCCCCCAAAGTGCCAGAAGCTGAGGTGGGCAGGATAGCCATTGCTGGAGCTGGGAGAGTGGGCAGGGAACGGGCCTGGCTGATTTGAAACCAGAAAAATTGGCCAAAACGACTCAGGACAGCAATTCGAAACACTGAATCATCAAATCAGCCGAATCCGAAGCAAATACTAGCCACTTCACACAGGCCTACTATTTAGCTATGCTGCCAATGATTTAAAATCTAATATATAAAACAAAGCTAGTAATAATGACAAACTACATTTAGAATAAATTCTGAATACTATTAACTCAAAAATATCCACATAATTATCCATGGCAAAGCCTATAAAACATACAGGAGAATATGCTGCATTTATTATGCTCCTATAGCACAATAAAACTCCATACAAAAAAAAAACTTCTACAGTATGGGACTTAAAAAGGGGGTTTTTTTGTTTTTGTTTGGGGGGGGGGGTGAGGGAGGATGCTTGTGAGTAGCTAACTTATTTACCTCATGTCTTTGGACTGAAGTGAATCAATCTTTTGAAAATTGTGTTTTCAGAGATGACTATATGGAACCAAGTAGTTTCTTCAAAGTAGCTTTGCCACATTCTGAAACATTACTACACTAAAGCACAGAAGTGTTCAAGGGAGCACGTGATAGTGCTTATGTACATATTTATATAACCACATACGCAGTAATTAAATCCTTTTCATAGACCAAAGTACTAAGTGATGACTATGATTTAACTTGTACCTTAGAGAGCACAATGCAAGGGAGGCAATCAAAGCCACTCCATCAGAATTACTTCCAGCATTCCAAACCTCTGAACTACCTTCAAAAACACCATTTAAAACATAGCATGCAATGGCTTTAAAAACCCCACTTTGGGTCAATGGCCAGCTGTACTCGGTCCCAAAAGTACAACCATTTAGGGTACGATTTAAAGAAGCAACAAGTTTAAAAGCTGCAATCCAATGGGAGTGCTAGGTAGGTACCCTTTTCTTCAATAAGATGGCACTTGTTTCAAGAAAGTAGCACAAATCCCAGAGCTTTAACACTACAATATGATCTACAAACAAGCTAGTTTAGAGGTTTTTAAAATGAAGTCTCTCCTTTCACAGTCAATTAAGTTCAACTCATAGCACTTAAATATCCTGGCTTTGCAGGTACACATGCAAAAAACAAAAAACCATTTTCCCCTGTAAAATGACAACATTTTTCATAGCATGCGATGGCAAAAGAAAAGTTATAGGCAATGCTTTGGGATGATCAGTTCAGGGAATAAGGCTACCAGGAACGCATGCCAAAACTCATTCCACCGTATAATATGTGCAACTTCTTGACAAAAGGAGATTGTAGCAGTCCCTGTATTTAGGTTGCCAACACTTCCTATCATAAGATTCTTACAACCTTTTTAGAGATTGCACCCCCTTTGTAACACTTAAATAGTTTAACTGTTTGAAATTTAATAAGAAGTGTCAAGGGACAGATAAATATATTTCTGTTGCCTCGCAATTCTTTTTTGAATTGTCTGGTAATGCTGAAATTCTCTAGTTTTCCTTTAGTTGTTTCCATTTCTCAGGATAAATGTTGGCAGCATCCAAAAATAGTAAATTAATATGAACACTCTGAACTTAAAACAAGCCAAAGCTGTAGCCAAAAAAGCAGCTGAAAACGCTTTACTGGGAAAACAGAACCTCTTTGGGAGGATAAGCTAGAATCTCCTTGAAGATACTACCAATTTCAGATCCAGCACACCATCCCAGGAGTTCACTCCTCTACCCAGGATTATAGCATTCTCCAGCTCTTGAAGCCAGCTAAAGCCATTAATCCTGTACTTCAAGCTGTGCTGAAGTTTCAGGATTCAAACTCTTGTACTGATGTATTAAAGGGGTTGTAACTGCTGCAAATTCATTTCTATCCCCCCCACCCTTCAAAACACTGGGAATTATATAGGGGTGCACTGATGAAGACTTCCTTGGCCAATACTGATAGCCAATTATTCATCAGGCATGTTGGCCAATACCAGTCCAATAACCGATTCACAGAAATGAAGCTGGGCAGGATGGAGAGCAGCGCCCTGCAGGTAAGTCTGTGGAGGGGAGGGGGGAGATTGAGGCCCCCATGGTGAGGGAGTGGGCTGGAGCTGCAGGCAGCTCATCCATTAAGATCAGTGTCCTGGTGCTTAAAAATGGCAGCGGGGGTGTTTGAACTAAAGCTCATCGAATGAGCTTTAGTTCAAGTGCCACATCCAAGCAGGGTGGGAGCTGAGGTGGGCTGCCCAATGTGAGCTCAGGGCTCTTTGCTCTGCTGCCTTTGCCCTGGGAGCCACACACTGGCTGCGCCATGTCCCCTGCCCGTCCAACAACTGGAGGCATAGCTCACCGCCACCACTGCTACCAGATGGTGCGCAGCCAGCACAATGGTCCCAAGGCAAAGGAAGCAGGGTGAAGAGCCCTGAACCCACAGTGGGCAGCACAACTCAGCCCTCACCCTGCTCAAAAGCATCTTAGTGCTTAAAAAATGATGGCAGGGGTGCTTGAACTCATTCAATAAGCTTTAGTTCAAGTGCCCCACCACCATTTTTAAAGCATTGGGACGCTGATCCCCTGGATGAGCCGCCTGCATCTCCATCCTGCTCCCCTGAGGTTCCATTCACAACCCTGCCACAGCTCCAGCCCCTGACCAGGTCCCTGTCCCTCACTGTGGGGGCCTCAATCTGCCCCTGCCTCCCCCCACCAGACTTACCTGAAGGGTGCTGCTCTCCACACTGCCCAGCTGCATTCCTAGCCACATTATGCATGCAGCTGCGCACAAGAACGTGGTGTCCAGGGGCCCCGGACAGAAGGCATATTATGTTTGTCAGTACATTATCAGCTACATCGGCCAAAAAAGGCTGATGTTAATTTTCCTTTTAACTGGTGCCAAATTGAATATGGCGCCAATATATGGGTGCACCTCTAAAATTATATTACATGCTTTATTTTAAAACTGTTATGAAATCAAGCATTCAAAAAAATTAAGTTGTTTGTACCACCTTAAACCTGCCTTTCTCTGCACGTTACATTACAGTAATTTTTAGTTAAATGGCAACGTGCAATTTCCCACCCCCAATTGTCCCACATCAACCAAAGTACAGAATAATCAGTGCTTGAAACCTAACTCACAGTTATATTGTGAATGAGGATGTTTGTAGGACTACTGCCTAATTGTTCTACAAGTTAGAACATGGTGTGAAGAAAGAAGCAGAGAACAGAAGGGAGAAAATAGTTTTCTGTTTAAGGCAGGTTAGTTTCTACCGGGGGGGGGCAGGAAATCAAATCTGTCCCTACCTCTGCCACACCAGATGTGATCCTAACCAAGTCATAAGCCAAAATGTTATCAGCTGTCCATGAATTGTGCATTCCTCATTTTTCAAGTGCCCAACTCTACCCACATAGGGCTACCAATGTGGAAATACTGAGCACTTTACAGCTTAAATTCATTGGTTTCCTCAATACCTTTTGTACTAAAGGCAAAACAGCCCAAAGGAATCAGAGGCATAGGAGTCCAAAAAATTTAAAACTCTTAATTCCAATCCTAACACTCAATAATTTATGTTGCCTCATACAAGTCGTTTGTCTTAAATTTTACATGTGCAAAATTGGGATGAAACACCATCTCTTGCAGGAGAGAATGTATTCACATTTTTAAAGTTCAAATACTATGCCGAGTCATTTGGGAAAGACCACAAGGAAATTAATTCAAAACTAACTAAAGGCTATAGATGGCACTACAGTTTAAGGCAGGAGATACCACTTGAATAACGAGAATAAAAATATTCAACAGATGCCACATTCTATAAGCACCACCCATCTTTTTTTACAGCAAAGGTATGAGTTTTTTGGGAAAAAGACAACTTACTTCCATTATCATACGTTATGGAATCAGCAGG